AGTCACTTCCATGTGCGTGTATTCTCCCTCTCCAGCCTGGTGCTGGGGGCAGAGTTGATTTGGAAATTATTAAGAGATAAAGCCATATTGCCACTTGGCCCCTCCCTGGCTGTGAGACTTCACCTCTCGGGGCCTCAGTTTCTACGTCTACAAATGGGGACTCAGATGATAATTATAGTAACAGAATAAAGGCAGATAATTTTTCCTGAGCCACTAGACTATGTGCTCATCTATTTTGCTCACTGCTGTGTGGTCAGGGTCTAGAACAGAGCCTGGCACTGTGTAGGTAATCAAACATTTGCTGAACAAATGAATGAATGGATTGTTTCCCATACTTGCCTAATCTTTTAAAAAAAAAAAAAAACTAGATACCATTAATTTGATATACTTGCCTAATCATAAGAAGCCCCACCACTGTCCTAGGAAGAGACCTCCAAGACCAACCTTGACTGTCCCATTATCCATATTCAGAACTTTGGTTCCTCAAATTGTTTAGTTTCCATATTATTCAAGGATTTTTAAGATGTAAGCGACAGAAATCCAACTCAAACCAGTTCAGGCAAAACAGGGAGTGTCTTGGCTCATCTAACTCAAAGTCCACTAACTTCAGGTATGGCTGGATCCAGGTGCTCAAAGAAAGAAACTGCCTCTTTCCCAAGAGTCTATTTTGGAAGGCTGTCTCTGATTGGTCAGGACTGGGTCATGTGTCCAATCATTACAACTCTGAATGGCCAGGCCTGGGACGTGTATCTTCCACCGGAGAGGAGGGGTGGTCCCCACAGGATAACTGGGGGTCTAGCACTAGAGGAAGAAATAGATGTGCACAGGCAGAAACAAAGGACAGAGGGAGGCTCCACCAGACTCAACATCCTGCATTCTATCCTGCACACTCTGCCAGGTTAACATAAACGGCAGCTAACGATCAAGTTATTCCCTTGCTCAAGCACCTCCACTGGCTCCCTACTGAAGTAATTATAATTTGCTCAGCTCGGCATGGAAAGTCTTTGCAGTGTAGCATTGGTCTTCTCCCAACTGAGGGATGAGTGAAGACGCTGTTCTAAGAATCCAGATAAGCAATGGTGAGGTCTGGAGTTGGGCAGCAGGGGTGGGAATGTGGGTGTGGATTCTAGAGAAATCCTTATCTTACTCAATTATTCAGTAGCACTCAGCAAAGGGATATCTCTCTCCTTCTTAAACTACCGTTTTTGCAGCAAATGCTGGGGGTGCCCTGTGTCTCCCTGCCTCCCCTCCCCCACTGCCCCTTGCCCACTCCCTTGTACTGCTACTTCCTACTGGCCTTCTCTGGCAGCAGATCTGTGCTCAGACTTTTTCTTTTCCTTTCTTTTCTTTTCTTTCTATCTTTCTTCTTTTCTTCCTTCCTTCCTTTCTTTTCCTTTCTTTCTTTCTCTTTCTTTCTTTCTTTCTTTCTTTCTTTCTTTCTTTCTTTCTTTCTTTCTTTCTTTCTTTCTTTCTTTCTTTCGAGACAGTCTCTCTCTATCGCCACAGCTAGAATACAGTAGCATCACTCCAACCTCAAACTCCCAGGCTCAAGCAATCCTCCTGCCTCAGCCTCCTGAGTAGCTGGGACTACAGGCATGTGCCACCATGCCCGGCTAATTTTTTCTATTTTGAGTAGAGATGGGGAATCTCGCTCTTACTCAGGCTGGTCTCAGACTCCTGACCTCAAGTGATCCTCCTGCCTCAGCCTCCTAAAGTGCTAGGATTACAGGTATGAGCCACCATGCCTGGCCCAGACTTTATCTTATACACCCACTGAAGACATCATTAGTTGCAAACCCAACAATCCCCCCCCCCATCAATACCCCAAGTTTGGCCACCATATGCTTCTAGAGAATAAACCCACCCTCAATGGGCAGATCTTAAAGAGTCTCACCAATTACAGGAACAGGCATGTGACATATTTCGAACCAATAAGACTTGATGGAGGCCGAGCGCGGTGGCTCACACCTGTAATCCTAGCACTCTAGGAGGCCAAGGCGGGCGGATTGCTCTAGGTCAGGAGTTCGAAACCAGCTTGAGCAAGAGTGAGACGCCGTCTCTACTATAAATAGAAAGAAATTAATTGGCTAACTAATATATATACAAAAAATTAGCCGGGCATGATGGTGCATGCCTATAGTCCCAGCTACTTTGGAGGCTGAGGCAGTAGGATTACTTGAGCCCAGGAGTTTGAGGTTGCTGTGAGCTAGGCTGACACCACGGCACTCACTTTAGCCTGGGCAACAAAGCGAGACTGTCTCAAAAAGAAAAAGAAAAAAAAAAAAAAGACTTGATGGAAGTCTGCTGGAGGCTTCAGGGAAAGGTTTTTCCCTCTTAAAATAGGACATGGGAAAGGAAAGTGGCCTGTCACTCTTCTGACCTGTGGATGTTGCTGTAAGAGCACAATGTCTAGAGCTCTGGCAGCCATTGTGGACCCACGAGGGGAGACCATGCCATCTCAGCAGATGGGAAGATGGAAGAATCCGGAACCTTGATGCTGCTAGTGAGCTTCTGAACCAACCAACGCTGGCATTGCCCCATTTCAGGACACACTGCTTAAAGCACTTGGAGTTCAGTCTTCATTTACTTGTATGGAAAATCCTTTTTAAAAAAATTTTTTTTTTTTTTTGAGACAGAGTCTCACTCTGTTGCCCAGGCTGGAGTGCCATGGCATCAGCCTAGCTGACAGCAACCTCAAACTTCTGGGCTCAAGCGATTCTCCTACCTCAGCCTCCTGAGTAGCTGGGACTACAGACATGCGCCACCATGCCCAGCTAATTTTTTCTATATATATTAGTTGGCCAATTAATTTCTTTCTATTTATAGTAGAGACGGGGTCTTGCTCTTGCTTAGGCTGGTTTTGAACTCCTGACCGTGAGCAATCCATCCACCTCGACCTCCCAGAGTGCTAGGATTACAGGCGTGAGCCACCGCGCCCAACCTCTATATATTTTTAGTTGGCCAATTAATTTCTTTCTATTTTTAGTAGAGATGGGTCTTGCTCTTGTTCAGGCTGGTTTCGAACTCCTGACCTTGAGCGATCCTCCTGCCTCAGCCTCCAGAGTGCTGGGATTACAGGTGTGAGCCACCGCGCCCAGCCTCCAAAAATCCTTTTGATGGATATATCCTATGTATGGAGAAACTTCCAGAAACGTGACTCCAGCCATAACCTTCCTTCTTGGGTCACTGCAGCCCTGCGTAGGGTGCTTGGTGGACGCCTTCCCAAGCGGTCCCACAAGCACCCCAGAAGCATGTCCAACTCGAACCAATTAGTCTGCCGCTTCCCCAAAAATCCTTCTCCCCAGCATTAATTCATCAGATGAGTGGCATCACCATCTGCATAGTCTCTCTCATGAGTAACCCTCAAGTCTTTTTTCCTTCTTTTATTCATTAACTAACCCACATTTTCTGAACACCTCTAGGAACTGGGCATTATGCCAGATGTAGGAGATAAAACAGGGAAGAAGACGAAGTTCCGTCCCTCATGAAGCATACATTCTTCAGGGGAGGAGAGATATGGAATAAACAACACACAGCCGGTGGCGGCTAGGAAACAGACTGGGTGTTTGCGCACAGAAACGCAGGGAGGCACACACCCAGCCAGGGCGATCAGAGAAGGCCCCCGCAGGGAGCTAACAGTTAAACCAAATGTGCGCCAGGACCAGGCTCTGCAAAGCAAGAGAAGAGCTTTCCGGGCAGAGGGGCGGGCAAGGGCAAAGCCTCCGTGGCTGGACCAAACTCGGAACATTCCAGGAGCAGCAAAGGAGGCCAGTGAGGTGGGAGCAATGAGTAACGAGAAGAGCGGTAGGAGATGAAGTCAGCGTGGCGACGCGGAGAGACAGATCCAGTGGGGCTTCATAAGTGATTTTATGCTAAGTGCAGTGGGCAGCCAGGGGAGGAATTTAAATAAGGATGGGCCATGATCTCAGGTTTTTAAATGGTTTCACAGGCTGTCGGGTGGAGGAGGGCCCGCAATAATAAAACTGATCGTAGCTAACACTTTTATAGCGGATACCCTGTGCTGGGCACTGTTCTAAGCACATTCCACATATTAACTCATTAAATCCCCACAGCAACCCCATGAGGTCGGCACCATAATCATTCCCATTGTATGGATGAAGAAACTGAGACACAGAGAGGTGAAGTAACCTGCGCAGGGTCACACACGGCCAGTCACCCAGGGCTGTAGGAAAGCGGGGGACTAGCTGGAGGTGGGGTGCACATCCAGTGTGGGGCAGCAGGGCGGGATCTTGGACTGGCCCTGCCTGGCAGCAAAGCAGGTGGAGAAAGGCAAGGGTCCGGAATGTAATTTCAAGATGGAAAGGAAAGAATGTGAGGGTGAACAGTATCCTCTGTCCATGCCGACTCCCTTCCCAGCAGGACTTTCCACATGGCTTCAGGCTGGGCGGTCTCTCAGAGGCCTCCTGCCCGCCTTAAGGATGGGGGTGTCCCCGCTGTCCCCCCACCCTGCTGTCCGCCCCCCGTCCTGCTGCATGGCACCCCGCTCCTCTCACACGACCACCTCGCGGTGAGAACAGCCCGACCCGGCTGCGACCCCCGTGCTGCCCTGCGCCTCCGCACCTCCGCCTGCGTCCCAAGATGCAGAGCCGCGGCGGCCGCGCTTGCAGGAGAGCACTTTGCAGACGCTCCCTACGCGCGCCCAAACTTCCATTGTGTCCCGGGGACCGGGCACCGCGCGAGCGGCCCGGCTGCCCCAGCCCGAGGCGGCCGGGCAAACGCTCAGCCTCCCGGCCCCAGCCCGGCCCAGCCCGGCCCAGCCCGGCCCCGCGGGCACCGGAGCGCAGGCGGGAGCGAGGCGGGCGCGGGGACGCTCCTGCCCGCGACAGGTTGCAGCCCCCAGCGCCCCCCGCGCCCCGCGGGCCCCGCCCCCCCCCCCCCGACCTGCGCCCCCCGCGCCCCCCGACCCGCGCCCCCCGCCCCCCCACCCACCCCCCGACTCGCGCCGGGCGAAGAAAGCCCGAGAGAGGGGAGGCGGCGGAGGGGCTGCGGGAGCTTTCTCGGCGGCAGGCAGGAGTTTCTGCGGAGCCTCCGGGAGTCCCCTAAGCATCTGTTCCCGCTCCCCAGGGGCGGGGAGGTCACCTTCTTGGTTCCCCATCCGCCTGCGACCGGTTCGGCGGTGAGTGAAAGTGCGAAAAGCCGGGGCCTACCCAAGCCGGGCCTGCTGCGGGGCTTTCTGAAAAGTCAGCACGGAGCCCACGGACCCGGCCCCGCGCAAAGGGCAGTGCTAGGCCTCGGAGAAAAGGAAAGCACCCTGTCCTCCGTGCTGGGGTGGAGCTGAGACGAGTTCTTCATGGGTAGAGGCAGAGGTGAGAGGGAGAAATCCAGGGACACTTCACGGAGGAGGGGGCCTTTTCAAGAGCTCTGCAAGGACTGAGAGGATTCCTATTCTCGCCTGCCCTCCCTCTTCCTTTCCTTCTTTAAAAAGAAAAAAAAAAAAACGCTCCCCAAATAAAGGAACAAATAAAAGACGTGCAAAAGAGGCATATATTCTTTTTCCGTAAAGGTATAGGCCATATAATTCTTTAAACTTTCCTTTCCGCTCTCTAAAGGGATGTACGTGCATTGCTGAAGCCTCGGAAAACTGGAGGAGCCTATAGAAGAAAATGAAAATCGCCGGTATTTCCACCATTTAGAGGTAAATGCCCTTAACATGTCAGAGCCTTCCTCTCCAGGCTTTGGTGGTTATTGATGATGATGATGATGATGATGATGATGATGATGATGATGATGATGATGATGATGAAGGTAAAATTTACTTACAGTGAAATGCACTGACCTGAAGTGTCTGATGCAATGGATTTTGACAACTGTCTACACCCATTTGTACACCCCTCCCATCAAGATCTAGAACATTTCCGTTGCCCCAGAAATTCCCCTCAGGTCCCTTCCAGTCAGCCCCATCCTCCTGCTGTCTATCACCATAAATTAGTTTTGCCTGTCATACAGTTGGCATCATGTGGCATGTGGGCGTCTGTGCCTGGCTCCCCTCACTCAGCGTGAATAATGTTTTTGGAGTCAGCCATGTAGCAGTAGCTTGCTCCTTTCCCTTGCTGAGTAGTGTTCCATCGTGTGGCTACACCACAATGTGCTCAGCCATTCTCCCTGCCATCGTCTTTTAGGTAGTCTTCGCTCTGGGGCTATTATGAATAAAGCCACTTATAAACGTAAGTGGACAAGTCTGTGTGTAAGATGGAGGTTTTCATTTTTCTTAAACACTTAAGAGTGGGATTGCTGGGTCATAAGATTACCTTCTAGGAGAAATTGCCAACAGTTTTCTAAAGTGGTCGTACCATTTTCTATTTCCACCAGCACTGTATGAGGGTTCCAGGTGTTTACTATTATTATTTTTTAATTACACAAATTATACATGGGTATATTCTTCTGTAAGGTTTATTAAGTACATTCGGATAGCCACCTAGCACCCACCACTCCCCCCAGAGTAACCACCATCAGCAGTTTGGGGTGCTTCCTTACAGACCTTTTCCTGTGCATTTATATATATATAAATAAACACCCATAGAAAACATACGGTATTATTTTGCAGTGATTCTTTCTACGAAAATCTCCTGTTGTATACTTCTTCATTGTACTTAACCACCTCTGACATACTGTTTTATTCCCTGCTTAGGATGTTAGCTCGGCTAAGGCAGGGAGTTTGTCTGTTTTGTTCACTGTTCTATTGCCAGTGTGCGGACTGGTGTCCGGCATAGAGTGGATGCTCCATAAATGTCTGTGGAACGAAAGACTAGTGGACATATTGTTCTCCAACTTGCTTTTTTCACCTCTTTAAATATAACTCATAGATCTTTCCACATCAGCACTTACAGATCTATTTCCTTCTGCAACCTGCTGCATAGCATATTCTGTGATATGAATATGCAAAATTTGTTTTTCATTCCTCTGTCCTTGCATTTTAGTAAAATTGACCCAAGGGTCAGGGTTTCTATCACCAGATATTGCAAGAAAGTCAACACATTGTCTACTTGAGAAACTGGGGGGAGGGGTAGGTAATTTGGTAGAATCTTGATGGTTTGGCAAAATGGGGGTGGTATGGGGAAGGCAGCATCAAAGTTGTTGTGGGGTGATTACGCACACACTCTGGAACCGTATGCCCTGGGTTCGCATCAGGACTGCCACTGTCAGCTGTGTGACCTTGGGCAAATGACTCAACTTCTCTGTGCCTCGCTACCCCATCTGAACAATGGGAATGATAACAGTAGACACCCCCAAGGGTTGTTATGAGAATTAGTATATATGCAAACTGCTTAGAGTAGCACTTGTTAAATACTCTTAAATGTCATCGGCAGTTATTCAGCAACGAAAGTGTTTTTGTGGCTGAAGAGCACATTCAGCTCGCTGCGGTCATTTTCTCTCCTTTCCCAGCCCCATAAGTGTTGGCTTCTTCACCCGCTGACCTGTGGCGCCCTTATTGCGGAGGAGGGAGGACAGACGGGGAGGGGGGGTGGATCCAGGCAGGAGCAGCTGTGCAGGAACCAAGCGAGAGTGGAGTTTCCAAGTCAAGGCCACAGTAAACAGCGATGAAAGCCCGGCGGGGGAGGACGGCAAGGCCCCAGACGAGGCAGGTGCAGTCTGGCAGCGGGGAGTCACCAGTGACCTTTGGGAGAAAAGCTGGTGCGGGAGCCAGCTTCAGAGGGACACGGACAGTGGCCGAGCCTGGGTGAGGGCGTCCTCCGGGAGCCACCAACTGCTTTTCTGAGAAATCTGGCCAGATTGGACTGTGTCTTGAAGGGGAGAAAAAAATGTTTCATTTTTTTAAGGGTAAAAAGCTCTGAGCAGGTGTGGGGGGAAAACTTCTTTCAAGAGCCATGACTACAGGATCTAAGAGGATCGGAGCTGGGGCTGGAATGGAAGCCAAGAGCTGGGCATCCTTTTTTTTTTTTGTGACAGAGTCTTACTTTGTTGCCCAGGCTAGAGTGAGTGCCGTGGCATCAGCCTAGCTCACAGCAACCTCAAACTCCTGGGCTCAAGTGATCCTCCTGCCTCAGCCTCCCGAGTAGCTGGGACTACAGGCACGCGCCACCATGCCCGGCTAATTTTTTCTATATATATTAGTTGGTCAATTAATTTCTTTCTATTTATAGTAGAGACGGGGTCTCGCTCTTGCTCAGGCTGGTTTCGAACTCCTGACCGAGAGCAATCCGCCCACCTCAGCCTCCCAGAGTGCTAGGATTACAGGCGTGAGCCACCACGCCTGGCCCGTGCCGGGCTTCTTGATTGCGACATCTCTGTTAAATCTTATCTTCTGTGCCACCTCCCTCCCTGCACCTGCCAGTCACTGCCTGGACCACCTTCCCCTGTCTGCCACAACCTCCCCTTAATCTTCTTCTTCTTCTTTTTTCTTTTTGAGAGAGAGACTCCCTCTGTCACCTGGGCTAGAGTGCAGTGGCATCAGCCTAGCTCATGGCAACCTCGAACTCCTGGGCTTGAGCAATCCTCCTGCCTCAGCCTCCCAAGTAGCTGGGACTACAGATGCATGCCACGATGCCGGCTAATTTTTCTATTTTTAGTAGAGACGGGGTCTCACTCTTGCTAGTCTTGAACTCCTGAGCTCAAGCGATCCTCCCACCTCTGCCTCCCTTCATCTTCTAAATGAGGGGTCGGTAGACCACAGCCACCAGCCAAATCCTGCCCACTACCTGTTTTCGTGCAGCTTGTGAGCTAAGAATGGTTTTTACATTTTTAAATGGCTGGGGGCGAAAATCAAAAGAAGACAAGTTTGTGACATGTGAAATGAACACTACATGAAGTTCAGATGTCAGTGTCCATAATTAAAGTTTATTGGCACACAGCCACACCCCTTTGCCTGTCGTTTGTGGTGGCTTTCCTGCTGCAGTGGCAGAGTGGAGCCTTCAAGGTCTGAATTATTTGCTCTCGGGCCCTTCACAGGGAATATGTGCAAATTCCGGGTCTAAATCTCCGCTTAAGGTGAACAAAAAACCAAAACCACCAACATCTTTCCCCTGTGACCTTTCCTTGGTCCTGTGAACCACTGTAGCGCCGAGAAAGAACTCATATTGTTGCATGATGCACACTGGTGGCCATCCCTTGTTTGTTGTGTGTTTGTCCCTTCCCTCCTTGAGGACCTGGCCCTGGTCCTGCAGGCTTAAACTCCCCAGGATTGAGCACATTGCCTGAGAGTCAGTAAATACGGACTTACGTATTTTAAATATTTAAATATTGCAGGCCACCTGGTCACCACTCTGAGCCCAGTTTTCTCATCTGTAAAGCGACAGCCTTGATCCCTCAGGTCTCTCATACTATAGTGGAGAAAGGACACCTGAGGCCTCCCCAGGTGGCATGAAATTATTTGCCAAAACAAAAAAAAAAGGTATTTCAAAAACACCATGAGTCACAAACTCATGGAGTGCAGGCCAAATTTTAGCCCAAATGCATTTTGCTGGATGTGCACCTGTTCTAATATTTTTTAACCTAAATGTCAATATAAACCTAACCTTTCCCACTTCAATCATCAGGAATGTCCATCTGGACCTCAGGGACATTGGGTTTGCCATCTCCACGTGGAGAGTTAAAGATCATGACAGCCATGCCCCCCGGGAGCCCTAAAAGAAGTGTCTGGAGTCAAAGGTTAGGGATGTATTTAAGCCAGTTGTTCCAAAACCTGGGAGTGTATAAATGCAGATTCCTAGGCCCACCCAGACTCACTGAATCCTACTCTCCATAGGTTGTGGTGCTGGAAATGGATTTTTTTTTTCAAGATTCTCCCAACATGCTTATGCATTACAAGCGGGGATATGTATTGAATTAAGCTCTGCAGATGTCAATTTGGCTGTACCCATCAAAATTATAAATGTTCCTTCCTCTTGACCCAGGAATCCCACTCCTGGGTATCTGTCTTCCAGCCCAGTGCTTCTTAAACTTTGACGTGCATACAAATCCCTGGTCATCTTTTTCAATGCAGATCCCAATCCCCCAGCTGCGGGGTGGGCCTGTACCGCTGCAGTTCTAGCAAAGCTCCCATCTGACGCTCTGCTTCTGGTCCTGGGACACTCTGCCTGGCAAGGCTCTGGATTTCCCACACATGCACCCAGTGATGTATGTATGAGATGACTCATCATACCATAGTGTGTGATTGCAAGTATTGGAAATAACCTAACTGTCCACCAAGAGAGGGCTAGTCAAATAAATCACAGTGCATCCCTACAAAGGAGGCACGTTATACAGCTCTGAAAAGTATCAAGGCAGCTCTTTATGGACTGGTGTGGAATGATCTCCAGGACACATTAAACAAAAAAGCAAAGAGCAGAATGGTAAGTGGAGTGAGCAACCATCTGTATGAAGAGTGTTGGCCAGTGAAGGGGGGATATTTATATTCCTGTTGACTTATACAAGTACAGAATTGGCTGGCAGAAGAAACTAATAACTGGATGCCTCTAGAGAGAGAAACTGAGTGGATGGGTGACATTTTACCATACCCATTTGGATTCTGAAATATGTGAATATAATACCTGTTCAAAGAAAAATTAAAAGTTTAAATTATAATGATACATAAACAGAAAGGCTCACCATGTACTTGTAATGCTCAGACATGACTTTAGACCATCAGAAAAGTGTAGCTGCACACTACAGTTTTGGTCACCTCCTACCTCAGTACCCCATGCACACACATGTCCCATGCACGTGCACATGTGTGTATGTGCATACATGCGTGCGCGCACACACTTGCACACAGCTTTGAGGACAGTCAGTGCAGTGTTGGGAGCACACGGGGCTTCAACTCTGTGAACATCACTTGGATCCCAGCTCCAAGTGACATGGAGCAAGACACTCAGCCTCAATGCGCCTCATTTCTTGGGGACAATCAAAATAACACTGGCTGCCCTGCAGACTTTGGGAGGTGGAAAAACACTTCATAAACCAGAGTGTGCACATGAAAAGACTCATAACGTGAACTCAGATGGTGAGCAAGGGATGAGGCAGTCCCCAGCCCAGTCCCCACAGGGTCCCATACACATCTCCCAGGACGTGGGTGTGGGTGCAAGGTGGAAACCCAATCCCTTGACCTTTGCAGCCCGGCAGCTGCTCCGAGCAACCCCTGGCAGTGCTGATCTCCAACTCTCCTCCCACCATCAACCCGGCCGGGCTGAGTCACACGCAGGCACATGACCTGTGTGTGGGCCTAGTGCGAGGGTGGTGGTTGGGGGAGGGTGGTAAAGGTGGCAACAGGCGGTCACTCCCCACTCAGTGGGAAATTTCCTGCCAGGGGAGGAGATCTAAGCCTGACCCTAGGACAGGACTCACGTGGCTGCCTGGGCTGTCTCCTGGGCAGAACTCCTCCTCCAGGAAGCCCCCTGGGTGTATGCATGGGGTGTGTGTGTGTGTGTGTGTGTGTGTGTGTGTATGAGACAGAGACAGAGAGTCAGAGTGTGTACAAAGGGATGATACTAAAAATAACTACATATACTTACCACGTTCCAACTTCTGCCCTGAGCAC